TATTATGTAGGGTTGTTTTGGGGGCAAGATTGGCTATCTTGTATTTACTTTGTGAGCTATTGTGCAGGGAGGCTTTCCAAACACATTATCTCCCCAAAGAGATCTTTTTTTTTTCTTTTTTTCAGATGCCAAATGAGTTCAATTATGCTTGTATTCCAGAAGAGGAAATTGTGCACTTAGGGCTATTATGGGCTTCCCATTTGGACCCAACCAAAGGCTACAAAAGGAATTGAAATTACAACTGATAGGCTAGCCCTGTTGCAGAAAGCCACAGCCAGCATTATCAATCAGCCACTTCTCTCCCTCCTAAGAGGAGTGTTTGTTGAGACAGCCTGTTTCCTGAAAAGTCTATCTCCTTGCCCAAATGGTCCCAAGAAGAGAACATAAACCCCCTGTCTCTCAAGACAAACCAGAGCAAATGGTGCCAAAAAGAAGAAGGCCATAAGAAGGATACAAACTTCTGAAATGAACCCCTGGTCATGTAGTCAGCCAACCACAGCTATGTCCTATTTTGAGCCCCTTCAGCCCCTCCTCTGGGACAGCAGTGGATTCCAGCATGCGGGAAGGCTCCTGCTCACTGTCCTTTCCTGAGGTCCTGGAACTGTCCCTTCCTGAGGTCCTCCAATAAATGCAGCCTTGCCTGAGATCTGGTAAGGTCTCTTTCTTTCTTTTTCTTTCTTTCTTTCTTTCTTTTCTTTCTTTCTTTCTTCTTCACAAATTTTGTACCATCCCTGCACAGAGGCCATGTTAATCTCTGTATCATTCCATTTTTAGTATATATGCCACCAAAGTGAGCACAGGATACCCAAAAAGATTATACAAAAAGTTTATTCAAGAAATTAAAGTAAAAAAAAAAAAGACAACAACCAAATGGCAGCTAGCCAGACACAAACTTCACGAGCCAAAAATTGAGTCTGGCCCCGAACAATACCAGGCAGGAGCTTTTATTTGGTGACTCCACAGAAACCTGCATGCACCAAGAACCTTTTTAAAATCATTGGATGTCCACATATCCTGTGTATGGGTAAAGTCTTGATTGGTAGGGGCTGTCTTCAGAGCATTGGAATGTGCTGACTAACATCTTTTAGAATCAGAAGTTTTTGTTGATACCTTATAATTACAATATACCTGAGCTTGTCTGGGCTTGTCTGAAGAAGCTAGCCAAAATGGAGTCAGAGCATTCTGGTTCTGGCTCTTCATTCCCCCCTAGAGTTATGGCAAGGGTTAAATCTTTAAGCCAAGCAAATCACAGAAGTGGAAAGAAGTGGTTAGTCAGCACATTTAGGGTGGTGGAACCATTTCTATATTGTCGTAAGGCTCAGGGTCTCGATTTAAATGAGTATACTCTGAATGCAACACCATCAGTTGGACTGTCTGTATCCGTTCTCTGATGAATTTGAGCAAGGCATTAAGAATACAGGGACCACATGTGACTGCTAATAGGAGTAAGAGGAGAGGTCTGACTATTACTGAGATCAAAGTTGTTAACCATGCGGACCAGTCAAATAGGGATTCATACCAATTTAATTGATTTAGTCATTCGTTTTCTCTTTCCTTAAGCCTTTTACAGACCTCAGCCAAAGACTGTGTTATAACTCCCGAGTGATTAACATAGAAACAGCACTGTTCTTCTAGGGCAACACCGAGTCCTCCTTTTTCTAGAAAAAGTAAATCCAGCCCTCTCCTATTTTGTAAGGCTATCTCAGCTAAAGAGGATAGAACATCTTTGAGCTGGCAGATAGATGTTTCTAATGATTGTATGTCTAAGTCTATGGCCTGTCTAAGAAGGTGATAATTTTTATCCTGGAGGACTAGTGCTGAAGCCCCCAGACGAGTTCCAGTGGTTACCCTGACCCTGAGTAGACAGTGGTTCCTATGGCCTTACAAGGTCTAGACTCTTCTGAGACTCTGGTTTCCATTTCTATGTCTGTTCTATAGTATAGATGGGGAACCAGCTGCACTAGTACACAAAAATCCCCAGTCTGGTTTAAAATGGATGAGTGGAGGCATGTAGTTAAGCCAGAGGTATAGGCCCACCAAGTGGAGTTGGGGGGCACCATATATGGGTTAGGTGTAGTAGCCCCTATCTCTTGAACAGAGTTACATAGATGTTGGTAAGAAGGGGGGACAATTTTATGTGAGGGAGTCACGCATAGCCCTTTTCCATACACCTGGGTGAGGGTAAGCCCCCTTCTCCCTGCAGGCGGGGGAATTCTACAGGCAGTGGGGTCAGAAGTAACAACATAATTTCCTGGGAGAGCTAGCCCATCAAAAAAGGGAGGGCTCGGGTCCATGCAAAATGAGCAATGGATAGTGAGGTTAGGGGAAGTATTATTTAAAGCAATAAAGGTGGCATTTAGGAGGTTCATAAGCCCAGGGGATGGCTGCAAGGGCTCTTGGACTCGTCGGCTCTCTGGGGGTGTGGATCTAGGTGTGGGCAAAGTAGCAGTTTTATCCAGTTGGACAATTTGGCTAGGAGCTGGCCTCTCAACAGATTTAAAAATAGCTAAGGCTGGTGTTGGTCATCCTATAGGCTGTCACACTGTCCGAGCCAGCCCCATTTGGGTCCCCACGACTGGACCCACCTGAAGACACTTGGGTAAGGGTAAGCTCCCTTCTCCCTATAGGCAGGGGGATTCTACAGGCAGTGGGGTCAGAAGTGACAACATAATTTCCTGGGAGAACTAACCCATCATAAAAGGGAGGGCTCAGGTCCATGCAAAACCAGCAACGGATAGTGAGGTTAGGGGAGGTATTATTTAAAGCAATAAAGGTGGCATTTAGGAGGTTCATAAGCCCAGGGGATCTTGGGCCCGTTGGACCTCTGGGGGTGTGGATCTAGGTGTGGGTGAAGTAGTGGTTTTATCCAGTTGGACAATTTGGCTAGGAGCTGGCCTCTTGACAGATTTAAAAATAGTTAAGGATGGTGTTGGTCATCCTATAGGGTGTAACACTGTTTGAGACAGCCCCATCGTGGTCCCCACGACTGGACCCACGTGGATCAGTCCCTGTGGTGTATAAGCTGAAGCCCCAAGTTCACCCATCAATCCATTTTTGTAGGTTTTTAAGTTCCTTTCCTTTTGGGGTAAAGCTCAAGGAAATAGGGTTTCATCTAGAGGAGGAACAGGGTCCCTCAAATTGCCTTGATCTGGGGTTTCATCAAAGGCTTAGGCCTGGGGCCGCAGTTACCTGGATCAATCGGTAGTGATGGGGACAGCCCAATTAATATATCCAGTAGACACACAGCCCCATGAAGCACAGAAATAGTCCCCTGGCCCCCCACAGGTACTTCTTCAGTCACCATTGTCACCCGGGCAAACATAGAAGTGGTGCTTCTTTATCCTCTTTCAGCTGAGGGGAGACTGGCAAGCATAATTTACAGTGCCTGACAGGGTGTGCGATTCCCAAGCTCCTTCAAGCAGGTCACAGAGGTCGAATGTAATCTTGGATAATCAGGTGCCTGGAGGTCCTAGGTGGAAGAAGATGTTCACTATCTTTCCAGTGGATGTATTACTAACTATCTAGGTGAGGTTTTGGAGTCTATGGGGGGAGTTACCTAGGGCAGGCTCTATAAAAAAACATAAAAAAGCAACAAGGGTTATGGCGAAGCAGAGATTTTCAGCTTGAGAGGATTGTTTTTTACCCGTGTGACCTTCTATCTCTTGTTGACTTGGTCTGACCAATCCTCTGATGCAGGCTTTAGATGCCAGTGATGTATCCAGGTCCAGACAATGGCCACCTTAACCGCAGTAGGGGTGGTGAGGATCACGATGTGAGACCCCTTCCATCGAGGTCCGAGGGGCTCCTTGTGGTGCTGTCTCACCCAAACAAGGTCTCCTGGCTTGAATCCGTGAGGTTGGGCTGGTGGCAGTTCATAGATGTGCCTCAGCAAGGGGAAAACGTTGTCTTGTGCAATCTGTAAGGCCTGTAGGGACTTAAGAAATTGGGATTCAGACAAGTCAATTAGCACTTCTGAAGGCAGCTTGGGAAGCAGAGGGGGTGGTCAGCCATATATGATTTCATAAAGTGTTAGGCCTTGAGTATATGGGGTATTTCTGACCCTGTATAGGGCAAAAGGTAGGAGGCCTGTCTAGTCATCGCCAGTTTCTAGGGTCATTCTCTCTACTTGCCCTGAGCTCTGGGGGTGGCATGCGCAATGTAACTTCCAATTAGTCCCCAGTGTTTTAATTAACTCGAGTTATCTTAGAGATGAAGGCTGGTCCATTGTCTGACCTGATCACAGAGGGGAGTCCATACCTTGGTATTAGTTTGATGATCTTTTTAACCACTGTTGAGGCAGTTTCCCCCTTTGTGGGAAATGCTTCGACCCATCCTGAAAATGTATCTACAAAAACTAGGAGATATTTATAGCCATACCTGCCAGGTTTTACCTCAGTGAAGTCCACCTCCCAATGGACTCCAGGCACAGTGCCCCTCTCCCTTCTGGCTGGGGGCATGACTTTTCCTCTTGGATTAGTAACCTGGAAGGAGCAACATCTGGAAAGACAGCTCTCAATCCTTTTGGTTAGATCGAAGATGTGGTACGGAGTCAGGAGTTCGTGTAACTTTCTTTCCTTAGGTGATTCCCTTTGTGGAGTTTATATATTAGGTCCTCTGCGAGTTTATGTGGTAGAATAAGCCTCCCATCAGAGGTGTATCTCCATCCATGCTTGATCTTGGTATTTTCCAGGGAAGTTAAATCCTGATCATCCTGAGCTGAGTAGGAGGGCTCTTCTGGCAAGAGGGGTTCAGACAGAATAACCAGTAGGTTTGAGGCTGTTAGGGCTGCTTCTCTGTCCACTAGGTCTGCTCTCCTGTTTCCCTGTGCCTCCAGTGCATCCCCTGGACAATGGATGATGGCCAGTCTCTTTGGTAACCATATGGCCTCCAG